CTCTGGTGTGAGTTTAAAATATAAGTGTGTTAGCACTGTGCTGATTATCCCTAATATGAATAAATGTTTATTTATTCAATGTTTCTCTTCTTTAATACGCAATTGAAGTTATGCTACTCATGGATAAAAACATCGTGATAAAATCGAAATCGTGATAAAATATTGAAAAAATCGTGATATTCTATTTTTGCCATATCGCCCAGCCCTAGTTCAAGGGATTACACGTGGTGTGGTGTGTGGGTTCAATTTTAGGCCCAGTGCTTTTTTACCTTTATATGCTCCCTCTTGGCAGTGTCATCAGAAGACACGTGGTGAATTTCCACAGTTACGCTGATGATACACAGCTGTACATCTCTGTGTCTCCTGATGACACACGGCCAATGGACACACTTTTTAACTGCATTTTTGATATCAAATCCTGGACGGCAGAAAACTTTCTCCAGCTCAACCAGGACAAAATTGAAGTTTTAGTGATCAGTCCTGAGGCCCAGAGAGAGAAGCTTTTACCAAAATTACAATCACTGTCTCTTAATCCATCTTCACAGGTGAAGAACCTGGGTGTCATCTTTGACTCTGAGCTGACTTTTATCCATCATATTAAAAATATCACCAAAATAGATTGTTATCATCTAAAGAACATCGCCAGAGTCTGCCCCATTCTCTCTCGGGCCAAAATGGAGACGCTGATGCATGCTTTTATCACCAGCAGAATAGACTACTGCAATGCCCTGCTTTCTGGTCTTCCTAAAAAGACGATTTCAGGTTTACAACAATGACAAAACTCAGCAGCACGTGTCCTGACCAGGCCCCCACAATGCGGCTCAAAAATTGAAGCAATGCCGGAAGTACCTAAATTGCAGTTCCACCCTCATCCACTAGGGGCTGGTGTCAGAAGCGAGCAAATCCTCATTGACTCCCATGTTAAAAATACCAATTTGACAGCAGAAATAAACATGTTTACAGCCTGGTTCCAAAACGTGTGTTGTTTAAATTATCTAGTTTACACTCATGACAACTCTGAGATGGGTGAATTTTTTCTCACTCTTCTGTTTAAGTGTATTAAAAGCCTAAAATTCTGTATAATTAATGAGCATCAGACCCACGTGACCACAGAGCTAGCTCCGTGGAAAGGCCTCAGTAGAGCCTCAGTCTGGCCTGGAAACTGCTCCGGCATTTTGAGTCTGTGTGTGTGTATTCTGTTTTGGATATTTTTTGTGCAGTTGTTGGACAAAATGACTTGCTGTGGCATTAATTGCACTAATAGAGCGTCCAAGGAGTCTCCACTTCATTTTTTTCGGTAAGTAAAATTATATTTATGTATTTTAGGTCACTGCCGAGCTGAGCTTAGATTTTAACAAGTACTGTTTAACCATGAAATTTAAATGTAATAGGGTAAAACCCAGTGCATTTAACATAATGCTGCACTTTAGAAAATGGGTTGAAATATAACATGTTGGTGGAGCTGGGTTCCGACTATCGGCTTGTGGAGCTCTTGGGAGACCGATGTTTTCCACCCGGTGCTCCCCTCCCCGCAGCTCGGCGCATCTCTGTCTGATCACGGCTCCTGTCTGCTGTGCGGACTGCTGGCTCGTGGAGCTCTGGGATGGAAACCTTTCCACCCGGTTCTCCCCAGCGGCAGCTCTGCGCATCTCAGATCGCAGCGGCGCTTGTCTGCTGTGCGGCTGCCGGCTTGTGGAGGTCTCGGAGACCTCTGTGTTCCACCTGGTTTTACCCAGCGGTCAGCCCGGCGTATCTCTGACTCAGAAGCTCTGGTGTTGTGCACAGTTAACTCCGGTTGTAGCTAGGTTGCTACCTCCGTTAGCTTAGCTCCCACCTCCCCGTTAGCTTTGGGTTAGCTTCAGGTTAGCTTGTAGCAAGTTCGGGTGTCATCAGTTGATCCCAGCCTTACAGCCCCACCCTCAGCTCCACCTCTCTTCCCTTTTGTGGAATTGTCTGGGCTTGAAGGAACCTGTGACACGGTCAAAATGGCGGTGGTGGCCACCTCCCATTTTTCTTCAAAAATGTGTAATTGGAGTCTATGGAAACCCATTGTCCAATATTTATATGTCGATGGTCCTGACGAAGACCAGGAAGCGGGAGCACATTACTCCAGTTTTAGAATCACTGCATTGGCTCCCCGTATGTTTCAGTATTGATTTCAAAATACTTTTAACGGTTTTTAAGTGTCTTAATGGTCTTGGGTCTTCTTATTTTTCAGAACTGCTTTTACCGTATGAACCCACGTGGTCTCTGCGCTCCTCTGGCAGCCGCCTCCTTGTCCTCCCTAAAGTCAGGACACATATTCACGGCGAGGCATCCTTCCAGTACTACGGTCCTCGCCTCTGGAACGAGCTGCCAGGGGACCTCAGGGCCGCTGAGAACATTCATGTTTTTAGAAACAGGCTCATGACTCATCTTTTAGCTTAGCTTTTAACTGAATACTCTCACTTTTAAAATTAATGAATTACTTAGATCAAATAAATAAATAAACTATTTATTTTATTTATGTATTCTTTCTTTAAACATGCTTTTTAAACAGTTTTTTACCATGATTTATGATCAACATTATTTTAATATCTATATAACTTTTTATATTACAATTCTCATTTTAGCTCTTTGGATTTTAAATTTTAACCGTAATTTAACCTTTTTCCAGTGCTTCCTCTGTGGAAGCCCTCTGCCCCGGTGGTGGTGGTCGGCTGTGGCGGCCTGGGTGCTTTCCATGTGTGCCTGGGTGGTGGTGGGTGTCTCTGCCCTCCCCTCCCTGGGCGCCCGGTGTCAGTGCCTCGGCTGCTGCTGTGGATCTGCTGCTATCGGGGCGGATGGCACCCCTGATGGCATTTCCTTATCCTTGTCTTAGCTGGTCTGGCTCATCTGATCTCAGCCAGTGGTGATTTTTTTTTTACCATGGGGAAGGAGGCATGTATGCGTGTGTGTCGGTGGGGGAGTGTTGTGAAGGGTTTTTATTGTCAGACTGTTTTTAAAATTCTGGGGTTGGGAGGGAATGTGGTATGGGGCCTTTTAAATTTGTTAAGCACTTTGAGTTGCATGTATTGTAGGATAAAGTGCTATATAAATAAAGTTGATTGATTGTTTGATTGTACAAACTGCCAACGAGGCCTCAAACGTCACTGCTTACGTAATCAACACAAGCCTCGATAAGCGCTTCACCAAAAAATGTCCTGGATAGCTGACACGCTTCGAAGCGTCGACACATCAGACATATCAATAGTGCTGTGTACATTAATGAGGGGAAGAAAAGGTATTTGATCGATTTTAACAAATGGCTGCAATTTAACAAAGAGTGAAAATTTGACATGGGTTAGGGTACTTTCCCTGTAAATGATAAATGACCTGTACTTGTATAGCGCTTTTCCTAGGAAGAGGACTCCAATGTGCTTTACACTATAGTGCATTATTCATCCAGTCACACGCTGGTGGTTATAAGCTACTATGTGGCCACAGCTGCCCTGGGGAGCAGTGACAGAGGCAAGGCTGCCAAGCACAGACACCACCGGTCCCTCCGACCACCACCAACAGGCAGGGTGGGTTAAGTGTCTTGCCCAGACACAACAGCAGCATTCTCTGTCCGGAGCCGGGATCAATCTTACAACACTCATATTACTGGACAACCCGCTCTGCCTCCTGAGCTGCTGCTGCCCCCTAAGAAACAATCGGTGTCTCATGCATGGACCACCAACAGGCCACAGTACGTGAGGCTGCACAATTGTACGTCGAGGTGGTTGTGTGCAGTACTGGAGCTCAACAGAGCACAGTGTTCTCACCCTTTCTCTTCACCTTCTACACCTCAGACTTCATTTACAACACCAGCAGCTGTCACCTCCAGAAGTTCTCTGATCATTCTCTGGTCATTGTCGGCTGTGTGTTTGAGGGTAAGGACCAGGAGTACAGGTCAGTCATCAAGGACTTTGTTGACTGGTGTGAGCGTAACCACTTTTGCTTGAACACCAGTGAAACCAAGAAAATGGTGGATGACTCCAAGAGAAACACTCCTCTCTCACCAGTTAACATCCAAGGAGCAGACATTGAGGTGGTGGATACCTTTAGGTACCTGGGTGTTCACCTCAACAGTAAACTGAACTGGTCTAACAACACAGATGCTGTATTAGAAGGGCCAAAGCTGCCTCCACCTCCTGAGGAGGCTGAGGTCATTCAGAGTTAATTCCCATCTTCTAAAATCTTTTTATCACTCTGTGGTTGGCTCTGTTATCCACTCTGATGGGCTGATGGGGTGCAGGCAGCTCTGACGAGACAGGAAGAGACTGAACAAGCTAGTTCACAAAGCTAGCTCGGTTCTGAGTTGCCCACTGGATTCAGTTGAGGAGATGTGTGAAAAGAGGATGCTGGGGAAGATGACCTTCATACTAAACAACCCGTCCCACCCACTGCATTCTACTGTGGAGACCATGGACAGCTCCTTCAGAGGCAGACAGAGACATCCAAGAAGTAAGACAGAACGCTAGGTCATTCTTCCTCTCTGCAGTAAGAGTGTAAAACTCCTCAGTTTAACTGGCACTGATATTATCCTGTTACACAATAACACCAATGCAAAATTCAGTATGTGTTCAGTACTCATGCAATACCAGATTTACATAGTTTGTCCCTTACAGTATGCTGCACAGTTCTAGAACCAAAGTTTTCCATTTTTATTCATGGTTTTTAGTGGTCAAAGGTTACAATACTAGCCTACTGCCTATGTGTACATGTACACACGTACCTTTGGTATTATTTTTCTTCAAATTATTCTCTTAAGTGTTGGTGCTGCTGTAACATGTGAATTTCCCCACTGTGGGATCAATAAAGTCTATTCTATTCCATAACAAACAGGACTAGTGCAGGGACGATGCTCTGAGCGTCCCTAAACTCGACCAGCCATACTTCCTCTGTGTAGACAGAGGTCGAGTCTGGCAGGCCGGGCTAATGTAGAGCAGGAGTTCTCAGACCAGATTGTTTGCATTGCAGACGGTGTCTACTCTTACTGGTGGAGCTGCTAGGAATGGGCATCTCTTCCAGCTGCTCCTGGATCTTTGCCAGCTCTTCGGACGTGAACCTCCACCTCTTCTCCGCTGCCTGAGCAGGCTGCTGTATCATGGAGCATTTCCTCCCTTTTGATGAGTTGGGAGAGGACAGGCATGCCGCTGGGAAGGAACCTGTTGTCATTCCGCTAGGAAACTTCTGAGCGATTACCTTCAGACCTTTAGCAGGACAGAGAAGAGGAGACACCTGAATGTGTAAACATCCTGTTTGGACTGGATTCATCCAGTAAAAAGGGGAAAGACATGAACCGTTAGTGCTCCCTCACCCCCACAGAGCATGAAGAGATTCTCAAATCCTCGTTCACACATGGTGGTCGCTGCCAGGCTCGCTATCCTCTCATCTTCATCGTACACAATAATGATCCTGCCCGGGGTGTTTTTCTACACTCAGTTAAGAGGAAACTCCTCCGCTGTAGTTTTGTGAAAGCTCAAGTTAATCTGATCATCTTAAAAGTGAGAAGTACGATGAAGGATACGTATTCCAGCACCTCTTTGGTGTAGGGGTTCATTGTTCTGGACAGCATGGCGATGGGGAAACTGTGCGCTGGAGGAGGAGGAGTTTAGGTCAAACACAGATTTTCTTTTCCTGGCATTAAGATGTTTGCTAAAGCAGCTCTGAGCTCAGGCCACCCACCGCTGATGATGTGGCAGAGGTCATACTGCTCACGGTCCCGCACGTCCAGCAGCAGGTAAGGACAGTCGGGGTAGCACGTGTCAGCTGGAGCTGGACTGGACACCAGCTCACTGGACAGCTGATTAAACTGGTCTTGGCTCCGCTCTCCCACACCACTGATCACACTGGGAAACGACACAAACACAAGTCAAGCTGCTTTTCCTCTGCTAACAAACAAACACTCGTGTCCTCCAGCTCTCCTGGTGTCTCACCTGGCCCTCAGGTTAAAATTTAAATATAATTTAAATATAATTGACTTTTTGCTTTTACTGAACATCTTAAAGTGCTTCATGTCCTCGTCACATTTAGCTGAACACTCCCAGAACGGATCTTCCAGAGTGTAATAAAACCTCTTTCAGACATGTTTTCTTATTTTGGTCTAACAGAACAAAATATTGCCTGCAAAAAAGCAGCATTACTGGAAATAAGGGTATTATATTTTAAATGATCAAAATTTCTTGTTTTGCGTAAAATTCTGTCAAGTACACACTGCTAGGTGAGGATTCTTGAAATTAGCAAAAGAATAAAATATTAGATTATTTTGCTAGTTGTAAGAATCCTAGCCAACAGAACCTCTACACTGCTCCGTGTCCTCATCTGCTCCGTCCACAAGGAGACGCCAAGCTACATCTGCATCATTACAACGGACCAGATGGCGTTACACTCCTGGGATCTGTTTGTACGAAAGCAGGGAGGTGAGACAGAAAAACGACAAAAGGTGCCTAAGGCGACTAACTGAGCTCAGCTGGGAGTGTTGGGAGGACATTTGTCTTAGCGGAGGAAAAAATAACCAAACAAAACATGGGAAGGCCATGTGATTCATCTGTCTCAGTGTTGAGTTTCAGGTGTGTGATGGGTGTGACCTCATAGGTCTGCAGACTTATAACGTCAAGACAGGACTTCACCCAAACCTGCAGAGTACAGTAGAACTTGGGCTAAGTCAGATGTAGCGCATCATTTGGAGCTAATTAGCTCAGAAGAGCTGGTTCCTTCTGCATGCTGAGCTAGTAGCTGCAGCTCCTCTGGAACAGACTCATGATGACTGTCCACAGCAGCGCCTCAGTGCTGTCACTCACCTGGTGCACGACTGTCCCTCTAACTCCGCTGTAGAACACAGAACACGTGTGTGGTTGTGGATAAGGGCTACGGTGGTAGATAAAACCAAGCATGACGCTTGTGAAGCAGAAACAAACACTAAATGTGCAGATGGTCGGTTTGTCTGCAGCTCGGACCTTTTCTACATTCTTACATTAAAAACTCAAACCCTGGTATCGAACAACTGACCTTAAACTGAAACAATGACTTGGTCTAATTTCTGTTCAGAAAGGCTCCACAGGTGTGTTTTACCTGAGCAGAGTTGACCTGGCGGAGGGACAGACGTCCCTGTCGTATCCAGCGGCCTGACTGTGTGAGGCAGGCAGAGTCACGGGGGAGCCGTTAGTGAGGTCCGGCAGACTGTCCAGGTCTGCATCAGACTCCACCGACACACCGTCTGTAAATCAGCATCATCACACACAAATCCATCGGCACTGATCCTGGAGCCCAGTGGTGCAACAGGCTGAAACGGTACCGTGCAGAGCGTGTGACTCGCCATCCTCCTCGCCTCGATTCAGCTGATTAATGTCTGAAACGGAGGCCACTTGAAGGATCTGGGGCAAAAGTAAAAGGAGGAGGAAACAGCCTGGGGTGTGAGTGCAAACATAAACTTTCAGAGCCATCCATCTGAAGCTCGTCACTTATTAATGAGTGTGGGTGGATTGGGTTTTCTTCTCCATCACCTTCAGGTTCACAAGCAAAACCAGACCATTTGCTTCTCATCCAGGGAGTTTCCTCAACTTGAACAGAAAAGTTCCAACCATTTAAACTGTAGTGAGAGCTTCTTTAATGGGAGCTAGTTTACAAAACAATCCCCAGATGTTTGAAACCATCGACAGTGGAGAAGAACCAACAGGCCTGAGGATTTTACTCTCCACCTCCGAGTCTGATCCCAGACAGTTTTAGAGCCAAGTCACACCTTTAGGAACACTATCACAACAACTCATATGAGGACCGAGCATCACTGGCATGACAGCAGAGAGGCTACTGAACTCTGGATGACTGAGAACTGTCACCATCACACCTCCACAATAAAAAACAGAAACAGTTCCTGGCTGGACATTCTAGCACAAAGATTGCAGCAAATTACTGGAAAACTTACCAGCTGTGCAAAAGTTGTCACCTTTAACCTTTTGAAGATTTCATCGTTTCGATACCTGTAGTCTTAAACAGGAAGAGAAAACTGCATCAGAACTGTTAACATGGGACTCTAGGGTCTTCAAGGCTTCCACAAAACTTTCTAATTCTTCACTGAACTGCTACTCTTCTGCTACCAACTCCACCTTCTGGCCAAGTTTGATTGAAACACACCTCAAAGAGACGGTTTTATCTGTGCTCACTGGGCTAACCCACCACTGGAGTTTAGTCTGGAACACTTATCTCAGAGGAATCAGAGCAAAGCCACAAAGAGATGGTTTAACTGGTAAAAATCTGCGAGTTAGAACATGTCCGAGGATGCCACAGACCCTCAGGAGCTTTAGGTTTCACTGTAGATGTGAAGTGAAAAGCTCTTGGGCACTTTACTGCAAAAGGAGGAACATTAAGGGTGGGATAAAATGTGCGAGTTCCACAGTGTCCATCCACTTTTCTGATGTGAAAGGAGACAAAAAGAGGGGCAGCAGCACGTTGACCTGTAGGGTGAATGAAGCCTTCTCATTTGTCTACAGACTGTGTGAACCCAGCATATGCTGCATTTTATCTCATCAGTTTTACCTGAAATATGGCAAATAATCTGCAAACTGCTTCTTTAAGGCATTTCTCAAAACGATAAAGTAATAACAATGGTTATTTGGTAAATAAATAAATAAAGGGGCAATTATTTTATTTTTTCATCTTTAATCATGCTGACCCTTTAAAACACGTGGATTTAGCCTCCAGAAAGGGAGGAAGTGCACACCGTTTGGATGTCACAACTAAAACAAAAGCTTAGTTGTAAAATAGAATGTGACAAATTATTTTGTTTGTTGATTTTATTGATTTAGACCAATTTGAGCAAGAATAAAAACGGAAACGTACGATTTATTAATTTCCCATCCCTATATTAGCCTAGGCATGGGTGGCATTAACTCTGGGCTCAAGGCATCTGGGGTTCAAAGAGAACATGGCAACGGTGATCTGACATGGTACGGATATTTGTTCAACTTCTGTGAACTTCACAGCATTAATTTAACACTTACTTGTTCTAATCTCCTCCAGTCTTGCCATATATTTTGTCAGGCTACAACCTAGAGGTTATGATATAACAGACAAGTCAGGGATAAAGAAACAAATATGCATGTAAAACAACGTTTGATCGGTATTAAAGGCATTGGCTCAACATACCTGTGTCCAGCCTTGTTTTGATATGATCATATTTAGCATTTTTTGGTGTCTTTTTCCTCATGTACTGAATGCACGAAAAAAAAAGTTTGTTTAAAGTGAGCTATTAAAAATGGCCAAGCAACGTCGTTGGTATGGTAACTAAACTAGCTAAACCGTTAGCTTAGCAGCCCCGATTTTTACGGGCTTGTCTTGGTATTTCTAAGGTGGCTAATAAAGCAATAATTCGGGAAACCCTGTGGGTGAATAAGTAAAATAACGTATGTATGCTTATTTACCTCCTCACTGCCGATGCCCCGGCTAAGCGACATACTTTCAAACCGGAGAACACAACATCAGTTAATAGGTTTAATAATGTCAACTATGACTCGCTGGTGTATTTTTGACTAACCAATCACAGAAATCGATACTAGCTTGCGTCATCAATGCAGCTTGACATTCACTTGCTAGTTGCTTAGCAGCGGAGTTGGCTCCACCTTCCTAACATGGTGCATTCAGGTCGAGTTTTTTTTTCTGGGGTAAATCATCGCTTTTTATCCCAATAAAATAAAAAATTACTTAAATAACTATTTGCATTCATAAGGTTTATTTTTTAAATACATTTTTCATTTGGCGCAAATGTGGTATTACTTCTATTGTTCACATTTGTGATTTCACTTCAGCTAGGACGGTAAATTAAAAAATATTCAACTGAACCCTGAAGGCAACACTTCTCACTGAAATGTAGAAAGCAACGCATTAGAGTAGTTATCTTGCTTCACGCTCACGAAAGTTAATGAATATGAACATCCAATTTACTTTTTGTCACTACGTTACATTAAATGTCTACCATTGTTTGCAGACACGTAAGCACAAGATTATCTGAGCTCGACACGTCGGATCTGAAATCTCCACAAGGCGTGCTGTAATCTTTTGATTGTAGAACAGCAGCCCTGCTGTGTGTTAGTTGGTTTTACTGCAGCAGACACCGCACGTGCACCATAAATATATACAAGTGCACATAAACACAGAGAGAGCTGTCATTCATTTCTGGCTCACAAACAGGAAAGGTTTATGGGTTCTCTCAGATAATGGATGCAATTCCCACACCCATCCTAACAGAATCACGCTCACTAGGACAGGCAAAGTTCATACAGTACACATATAGCTTTAAAAACTGGTTTGTTGTTTAGAAATCTAAAGTTCTGCATTACACCAAGTTCTGTTCTACGCTAGATGGCAGCACTTGACCACTTCCAGAATTTGTCACACGCTTACATTTCAAGTCCTGAGCTGTCAAACCTGCTACTGTTGATTTAATCTTTAGACCATGTTGACATTTGTAGTGAACAAACGAGGAAAACCCTAATTTTCCAGTTTTGATTCCTGAATTTTTCCATCCATTTCCCCCCCTCCTGTAATTCTATAGTAACTCGTAGAGTCAGGTCTGCTACATTATCCTTTCCTCTGATATCTCTCTGAAACCACTCAAACACAGAGGCACCAGCTGGGAAAGAACTCTCAGCTTTTTCATTAGAGAAGATGGGAGATGGCTGAGCACTGTTATGGAGCACTCAAGTCTTCAGAGCGAAGAATAAACAAGGAAAAGATGAGCAAGTGTCAGACTAGGCTTGAGCATGAGGAAGAGTAGAGTAATGCTTGTAGAAAGATGTAGGAGTGAACGGCAGAGGCTGAGAGCAACGATCTGGTCCCACCTCAGCCCACCTAATAAAGCTAAACCTCTAAAATTTCCTGCCTGTGCCCAAAGATCAAAGGTCCTTAATGAAATATAACTTTGATTATTGTAGCAAGAAAGAAATGGTGCTATAAATAATTTCACGATAAGAGCTAAAACAACGCCTCCTTGGGTAACCTGCCCCACAGGGAAGGGTAAACAGGCCGTAGGTTAAAATGATCACAATGGGAACAGATGGCAACATTCAAATACACACTTTATTAAAATCTAGGCTAAAAACCACGTTCGTTAATGTTAGAGCTTGGAGTCCAATTATTTGTCTGCAGGAAGTAGCAGCATTGACCTAGGGCCAACAAAAACTCAATTACACACCAAACACAAAAATGATAATAAAATACATACACCACCAACAAGCTAGGGATACTTCCTGGCAATCTGGTAAGCGTTCTGGTGGATGCCACGGCAACCAGACGTCCGACAACTAATTAACGCCAAGCACTATAAACGAACAAATCCATACGGACAGAACAGCAGTGAGGAGTCCTCTGGGCCCACAACCAGCTCTGGAGATGAGATTGGTTGTGGCGGGATGGGGAGATGGAGCAGCAGGAGGGTCAGTGCACCGCCGACGCAGTCAAACTCTCCGCTACTCTGGATGGCACCGCTGTAGCATCCCCGGTTGAAAAGATGGTCTCTCAAACTGATGGTTCACAATCCTTTTATTAAATCGCTGTGCATGTGAACACACCGTAAGAGCTACAACACACAGAATAAAAGACTATTAGTAAATCAAACAGTGTGTTATCTTTAACCCTTTTGACTTATTTATTAATCACAAATTAATTCTCTTTACCTTTCATAACAAATAACACTGAAACTTGTCAATTATTGCATATAACAGTGAAATCGTTGCATCGCTGCCTAAACATGACAAGATACGTTAGCACCCTCTAGTGGGTAAAGAACATAGCCTTTATGCTTAGCAGCGGTTAGCAGCTACATGCTCTGTATAACAACAAAGTGCATATCTACAGGACAAACTTGGTTACAAACCTTGTTCCCTCATCAACCAGGTGCTAAGAAACTGCTTTCAACTCAGTATTGCACCTTAATAGCCGTTCTTTTTCCCATTCCCGTCCATTAACCATAGAGCACACCTTCTCTCTGTGCATTAGATCTCGCGCTTCGGCTATATAGTTTACGTCACTCGATTTACTGCACCTTGTCGCTCTGTGACTTTCAAAGTAAGAGCATCCGCTCTAACAATATAACAGTCGCTCATAACTTTATGAACTACTTTACAAAATATTAACGTGGTCATTTACACTCCCACCAAATCATTAAAAGCGTAACTGAATTAACTGAAGCGATAATGATTTCCTAATCAAGAAATGACCTGTAACAATTAAACTGCATGGTAACACATAGTTCCATTAAAGAAAGTGAACCTTAAACTGTAGAATTCAGTTAAACAGTCTCTAATAGCAAAACCAGTTTCTGCACTGGGCGTGCACTGGTAAGCAGGTGATTTGGTGTCAAGGGCTCTGGGCTGCTTGGGTCACTTAGGTTGTCCACCGTTAGAGGCCTGCTGTTGACAATCGCCATTGCCTCAAAAAAGAATGTCCTTAAAGATGCGTCATCCATTCTGCCAGATGAAAGTGAAACTGTGGAGCGCAGAATGTTTCGAATTGTCCTGATTTGTCTTTCCCATACACCTCCTGTGTGGCTTGAATGAGGAGTGTGCATTTTGAAGTCACACTGCTTCTCTGCAAGGAATGTGGTAATGCGGTTGGAGTCCACTTGTTTTAAAGCTTCTTGTAGCTCATTTTTAGCTCCGACAAAGTTGCTTCCTTGATCACATCTTATCTCACTGACTGCTCCTCTTATGGCTATAAAACAGCGGAGCACATTGATAAAGGCGTCTGTAGTCATGATGTCCAACATTTCTATGTGCACTGCTCTGCAGCAAAGGCATGTAAAAAGAAGTCCATAACGCTTGTGCTCTTTGCGAGCTTGTTTGGTTAGAAAAGGACCAAAACAGTCCATTCCACAGAAGGTAAATGGCGGAGATGGGTCCAAGCGCTGCGTTGGGAGATCGGACATCCTTTGTTCCTCTGTGCCTCTTCTGAGTTTGCGACACGTCACACATTGGTGTATAAAATTTGCCACGGCCTTGTTGTTGCCTGGAATCCAAAATCCATTCACTCTGATCTCATTGATTGTCAAACCTTTCCCTTGGTGCTGCACCTTACTGTGGAAATGATCTATTATCAGTTGAGTGACATGGTGACGTTTTGGAACTATCACTGGGTGTTTCAGCATGGAGGAGAATGAAGCATCTTTAAGTCTTCCTCCCACCTTAAGGAGTCCATCAGTATCAAGAAAAGTGTCCATTTGAAACAGTTTACTTTTGTGTGGAAGTGCTTTCCCATTCTTTAGCAACCTTATCTCCTCTGCATATTCACTTGCTTGCGTGTCCTTTAGAATAACACATTGTGCATTTTGTCTTTCTTGTACTGTACTGTGGCCTGTTGTTTTGACTCTCTTGGCACAGCGAATGAGTCGGGCAATGGCTTGGGTGGCTTTGTACCATGAGGAAAACTGTTAACTTGTCTGATAAACCTTTGTTCTCTGTTTTGAGGGTGTTCAGTGCCTGTACCTTCTTAACCTCTGGGTCTCCAAGTGGTATGTTCAAGTCAATGTCTGCAGGTGGAGGTATTTCTTTTTCCCATAGAAACTGTGGCCCTTTGAACCAGTTGGATATGATGAGCTCACTTGCTCCTGAACCTCTAGAGGCAATGTCTGCAGGATTTTCCTCAGAAGGGACATATCTCCACTGCTGGGTAGAGCTGTTGAGCCTTATCTTCTGAACTCTATTGGAGACAAATGTGTGAAAACGTCTTGCATCATTATTAATGTAGCCTAAAACTACCTTAGAGTCCGTCCAGAAATACTCCTCTATCTGTGTCAATCCAAGCTCATCTTTTAACATGTTACTTACAGTAATGGAAACAACAGCAGCAGTCAGTTCGAGTCTTGGTATTGTTGTTACCTTGATGGGAGCCACTCTGGTCTTTGCTGTGACTAAAGCACAATGCACTTTATCATCTTCGTTTACATGTCTTAAGTACGAACACTGACCGTAGCCGTATGAACTTGCATCGGAAAAGTGATGCAACTCTGTTTTTACAATCAGGCCAAAGTCTTTAGGGACATAACAGCGAGGTATTACGATGTTCTCTAAGTTCTTCAAGTCACTGTTCCAGTTATCCCACATTGGCCTTAATTCACTTGGAAGGGGGTCATCCCAGCCTGTGCCTTGTTTGCATGTCTCTTGAAGCACTCTTTTGCCTGTTAGTACAAAAGGAGAAATGAATCCCAATGGGTCGTAAAGGGATGCAACCATAGATAGAATGCCACGCCTTGTAGCAGGTTGAACATTGGGGCGAAAACGAAACCTGAGTGTGTCTGAGCCAATATGCCAGTGAATGCCTAGAGCTCTTTCAAGTTTAGAGTCATTAAACGCTAGGTCACATGCTTGCTGTGGGGAGGCACGTTCAGATGCTGGAATGCTTTCTAACACAGTTTTGTTATTACTTACAAACTTGTGTAGTCTGAGACCACCTGACGCACAGAGTGTCTGAGCCTCCTGAGCGAGCTGTATTGCTTCTTTGATGCTTGCAGTGCTCGTCACCCCATCG